CGCGGGCACCGCAGTGCGCGCGGCGCCCGCCAGCGCCCGCAGCGCCACCACCCGTCTGGGAACCCGCGCGGGGTGCGTGGGGCGGAGCCAGCCTCCTGGCCGCCCCTCAGTCCGCCCGGGCCTGGAGCCTGCTCCTGTGGGACCCCCGCGTCGCCCCTCCCCTATTCCCGCCTCGCTGACCTGGGGCCTGGTCACACACACACCCCCACCCTCCATTCTGGAAGCGAAATCCTGCTTTTCTCCTCGTAGGCCTCACAATGCCGAAGGGGAGGGACAAGAGCAGAGATGGGTCCCAAGAAAGCTGGGCCCCCAGGACTCGCCCGAGGGGTCGGCGCTGTGCGCGAGCCACATTCCTCTGCCTTGACTCCCCGCCACCACCCCCACCACCACCCCGCCAGAGAGTCAGGGTCTTTCCTTCCGCTCAGTCCCCACTGGCAACGCCCACGAGTCCGGTTCTCGGGATGCCCCTAGCTGTGCCCAGGGCCTGAAGGCTCAAGGGGGCGATGTGATGGGGAGATGAGCAGGGAGTGGCAAGCCCACGTCATGAGGGGGCCAGGGCCTGAGGAGCAGAGGCTAAAGAAGGTTCCGAGGATACCTGGACAGACAGGTGGATGGAAAGTCAGGCAGACGACTGGACAGGTGCCAGGCAGCGGCGGGCAGGTGAAGAGGCACAGGGAGGACAGCCGCCTCCCCAGGGTGGGGTGACCCCTCTTGGCATCCCACCGGGTCAGCACTTGCCCTGGTGTCACAGCTGTGGGCTGGTGGGACCCCACCCTTCAGAGCCCCATTCCTCTCTGCTTCCCTGTCAGGCGGGGCTTCCTGCTCCCTGGCATACGCCCTCTGCCTGTGGGGAGCCCTTAGGTGAGGAGGGGAGCCGAGAGCATGCTGGCAACTCCAGGGCAGGGGACCCAGAGGACTGCCCCTGCCGTGCTACGGCCACCACCGGTTGGCATGCTGCACACCTGCGACGAGCACTGGGGTGGGTGCCTGACTCTGGACAGTCCTCTCTCGTCGGTATAGGCCAGACTGGCCGTGGCATAGGTAGGGAGGCTGAGGGAGCCTAGGTGGGCAAAACACAGTGGAGGTGCATCCCTGGGCTACCCGGCCTGGCTTTGCTGCTCTGGGTCAGATCAGTGTCTAGGCCTCAGTTTCTTCGGCCATTCAGCGCCAGCAGGTGTGAGAGGTGTGCAGATGCGCGTCAGGGGGGGCCCCTGACATGATGGCGGGGGCACCTGAGGCAGTCCTGGCCAGGCGAGGGCTGGGAGCACATCCCCGCCGCCCGGTGTGCTCAACGACCCACCAACTCGCGGACCCCGTGGGCGCGCACGGGAGGAGGCACCAGCCACCAGAGCGCAGGCCCCGCCACTTGCTTCGAAGCCCCGCCCCTGCCCCAGGCCCCCGCCACAGGCCATCCCATCGTGATGAGTCCCCGCCCCCCAACTCCAAGTCTGGGCCTTCCCGACCCCCTCGGTTCACAGGTGGGGCTGCCCACGCCGAATATGGGGCCGTCGGAGGCCAGCAGAACCCAAACCAGGTCTTTTGGGAAACCCTCGAGCGCGGAGCCTTCTGGGGAATAAAGCTTCCGCTGCCCGCCCTAAGCCTGGTGTGCGCATGCGCTCCGCTCCAACTCTCAACAAGGGGCGGAGTCTGCAGGGACGGGGCGTGGCTTAATGCGCCTGCGCAGTGGGCCTCCGTCGTCCTTGGTTCCCGAGGTTTGGTGACCCACCAGCCCCAGTTCCCCCCACATCCGGTGTCGCGACCGGTCTGACCGGCCCCACCCAGGCCTCCCGGTCACCTTGTCCTCCGGACCACGTCTGATTTGACCCTGCCGCTCCTGGGGGGCTTCCGGGCGCAGTGGGCTATGGCGCGGGGCCCGGGCCCAGGGAGAGCTTTCCAGAGCCCGGCTCAGAGCCGAGGATTTTCATCCCGTCACCTCTCAGCGGCCCTGGGTGGGGGTGACAGGGACGAGATGGGAGGGGCGAGAGCGCCGAGGAAGAGGCCGCCCCTGGGGGCGTGTGGCCCCCCAGCCCCACCACCCAGAGAAGAAAGTGCGATTTCAGAAATGGGCTAGAAATGTCACTTGTGTAGGAAGCCCCACCTCCGGTTGTAACGTAAGTTTTATAGGCAAAGGTGTGCAGTTGAAAACACGGAGCACCCTCCCTGTCATCTGTGCTCCTGCCATCTGGGTCTCTGTGGGGGCAGCAGCGCCACTTTAGTGACAGGCACTGCAGCCCTGAGGGGTGTGAGCCAAGGCTTGGGAGCCCTGCGGCGTGCAGGCCCCAGAATCTGGGTTCTGAGGCTCCTGCCCTGGTCCCACTTCCCCGCTGGGGCCGTGGCCCCTGCTCCTTGTGCCTCCTTCCTGGAGAGAAGAGGCTGGTCGGGGGCCCAGGGCATGCCCAGGATGGGTGGAGGCTGAGTCACTCGGGCTGGTGGTGCCCCTCAGAGCCCAGGCGCAGCTGCCACCTACCTGACAACGAGGGGAGCTGGGGCCTTGGGTTCTCAGGAGCCCCATCCTGGAGCCCCGCCCCGTGGCCCTGCCCTCGTGAGGAGGGAAAAGGCGGCTGCCAGGCGCTCAGCCCACAGGCACTGGGAGCTGGAGCCCAGAGGACCAAGAGGACAGACGATTGGTGCTGCCACCACCACCACTGCAGGTGGGTCTTCGCCAGCCGGCCGGCCCCCGCACAGGGGTGCCCGGAGACAGCCGCCAGCTCTCCCATAGGACCACCCCATTCCCGGCTCCATCCCACAGCACTGCCACCCAGGGAGGGGAAGACACCTGGGGGGCAGCTGGAAACACTAGCCTCACCGTGCCTACACGCAGCCCACCTGGCACGCAGGTCTTGCACACACACTGGACGTCTCCTCGCTCAGGGCAAAGGTGGCCCCGGGACGCTGGCCTGGGACAGGGCAGAAGCAGCCAGCTTTTCCTGGGGTGGGCGTTATCTTGGGCTGTAGGCTGTTGGGCACCCCATCTCCCTCTCCATCTTTGTCTTTTTTGTCCAGACCTGCTCCCTGTGGCCAGCCAGCCACCTTGCCAGGCCGTGCCATGGACCCGCATGAGATGGTCGTCAAGAACCCCTATACCCACATCAGCATCCCCCGAGCTCACCTGCGGCCTGACCTGGTAAAGCAGCTAGACACAGCTCCCTGCTCATCCTCTTCCTCTTTGTCCTCCGAAACACAGCCTGTGCCCGTGGGACCCTGCACCCCAGAGCCCGCCCGCCTCCTGCAGCCCACTGAGGTCCCAGGCCCCAAGGGGGCCGAGGGAGCTAAGGGTGCCAAGGGCGCCGCTCCCATCCAGGGCCAGCAGACATGGCAACACCCCAGTAACCCCTACGGCAGCGCCCAGCGTCCAGCAGGACTGACCTACGCGGGCGTGCCGCCCATCGGGCCAGGCGATGACATCGCCCACCACTGCTGCTGCTGCCCCTGCTGCTCCTGCTGCCACTGCCCTCGCTTTTGCCGCTGCCACAGCTGCTGCTGCGTCGTCTCCTAGCCGGCGGGAACAGCCCAGGGCCCACAGGGCAGGCCCCACACCTCTGCCCAGGCGGCACGCGGACATTTGGAGCAGCCACGGCTCCCCTTGGGTCCCTCGAAATGGATCCCTGGGCCCGGGGACACCGTTTGACCGCCTTCTTCAAGCCGGGCCCAGACAATAAAGTGGGATGTGCTCGGTCTCCAGGACTCTGCTCCTTTCTGCTTCCACTCCCTCTGGATGGGTCCCGGGCTGGACTGCGGCAGAGTGCCCCCCGACACACAGCCTCCACGACGCTCTCACAGCCTCTGGGACATTCCGGGACGGGGTGGTAACTGCCTCATGACACAGAGAGTTTGGCTTGTGTGTGGGTCTCAGGTCTGCCCAGAGACCAGGCAGGGAGGGGTCGGAGGTGGGGGGGGTTGAGCTGCACTGCACTGCCTGGGGCCGAGGCTGAGACTGGTCAGGTGGCAGGAGGATGCGATGCGTGGAACTGGGGTGGGGAGCCCCAAGACAGGCCTCTGGAAGGAGGACCAGGCTGGCAGGAGGGTGGTGGGTGGGGCTGGCACTGGCAGGTTTCGGGGAGTGGGAGCTTAGGACCCAGGACCCAGCCCTGCCCACACGTGAGTCACCTCCCAGCCTCAGCCAGGGCGTTTTTCTGGTTTCCCATGATACATTTAATTCCTGAACATCTGCCATGCAGTGGCTGAGCCATGCTGCTGGCCGCTGTCCTGTCTCCGGGGCCTGGGCCCTGGGCTGCCTGGAAGAGGTGGTGGGACCAGAATTGAGGGGTGGCAGAGAGGGGCTGGGAGGGGGTGGGTGCGTCCAGCTCACCGCCCCCGCTGCCTAGCATGCCTTTCTGGGGGATATGTGCGCAACCAGGCACACACACTCCACGCTGCGGACTGAGAGGCCGGGATGAGGCCAGTGCTGAGGCAGCCCTGGCGCTTCCAGGCGGGGCAATGGCGCGGAGGTGAACCGAGGCTGAGCTGGCCGTGCAGGACAAACAGGTCTGCATGCCGACCCTCCCTCAGTACCCAATGACTCACCCAGTGCAGGGAGGTGGGTGCGTGGCATGTAGAGGTCGTGGGTGTGGGACAAATGTGTCATCATACGTCACGGGCCTGACTCTGCACCTTGGCCGGCTACCAGTGGGACCCCACCTGTCCCTGCCCGGGGGACCCCACATCTCAGCCAGCTGCCTCTGGGACCCCACCTGTCCCTGCCTGGGGGACCCCACACCTCAATCAGCTGTCCGTGGGCCCCCACCTGTCCTTGCCCGCAGAACCCCAAGCCTCGGGCAGCTCTCAGCTGGGCCCCTACCCATCCCTGCCCCGCCCAGCCACAGAAACTCGCCCTACCGGTCCAGGAGGGCAGACAGCCAAGGGGGCAGGCAGGAATCCTGAGGGGCCGCTCTGGCCCTTGGCTCCCAGCTGGGCTGTGAGGGGCCCTGGGGATGAGGGGACACTTGCCCTGACCCCTTCCGGCCCCACCTCGACCACCCTCCCGCACCACCAGGCCTGGCGGGATGGCGGAGGGGAGGTGCCTACTGGTGGGGAGTCTGAGTCTGCTGAGAGGGGTGCTGAGGCGGTTCCCTTGAGACCGCGGACAGTGCGAGCCTTCTGGATTTTGACAGGTGGTGCTCGCACGCCTCCTAGGGGCCGTAATGGGCTGCTGCAGGCCGGAGGTGGGAAGAGGTCACCAGCCAGGCTCGATGGAGGCAATGACCAGAATATCACACGCCGGACACCTGTGACCAGGCACACTGTGACTGAGCTGAGCAGGCCTTCAGGGCTCTGTGCTGGCTGAGAGTCCTGGCAGGCTTCCTGGAGGAGGGAACACTCCAGCTGAAAAACAGTGATAACCAGGCCAAGACGGGAACGCTTTCCTGGGTGCATGCTCTGGTGGTGTGGGGCCCTGGGGTGGGGGCAGAGGTTGGGAGTGGACACTGGGAGGGGAGGTTTCCCGTCTGGGCAGAGAGATGGGTCCTGGGGAGGACTAGGTGAGCAGGATTTGGGGCCTAGGAGGACTGGGTGGGCCCAGGGGGGCAGCAAAGCCAGGGTGGGGGGCCAGCAGAGCCTGAGGCTGAGCACAGAGGAGATGAAGCAGAGGTGGCAGGCGGGGGGCTGGCGCCTCCTCACCGGGGAGTATGCGCTGGGGGATCCAGTTGCAGCGCTTTGTGGCTGACTGGGGAGCCCACAACAGCCCGCAGCTCGCCACCTGCCTCCCTGCTGCCTCGTCCGCTCTCAGGCCGGTAACGCGAGCTCCAGGGAGGGGGCCACAGGGCACCCTGCGTCCCCCCACCCCAGCCACCCACTGGCCAGCGTAAGCAGCCCAGCAGCAAAGGTGCAGGTAAGAGAGGCCTCGGGCTCAGGCAGGCCGGGGTAGGTGGGGGCTGGGGTGGGCCGGAGGGGCTGCAGGGGGACCAACAACTGGACAGGACTTGGCCCAGCTGGGGCCTCAGGAACCTGGGCTGTGCCCAGACCCCGGCATCTGCTCGCTCCACAGGCCTGGTAGCAACTGCAGCTCTGTGGGTCTGGGGTGAGGACTGGGCCATCGCCCCGTCCATCCCGAAAGCTGTAGAGATGGCTGGTGAAGGCTGCAGCCTAAGCCTGTCCACTGCTGTCCCCTGTGCCCCAGGATGCTGCAGCCTGAGAGTCCCCAGGCCCCCGAGGAAGAGGCCGCCGACACCAGGACCTGGAGGACTGACTGTGTCATCTGCTATTCAGCCTATGACCTGGCCGGGCACCTGCCGCGCCGCCTCTACTGCGGTCACACCTTCTGCCAGGCGTGCGTGCGGCGGCTGGACACGCCAGCCCACGAGCAGCGCTGGATCCCCTGCCCACAGTGCCGCCAGAGCACACCCACGCCTCGGGGAGGGGTGGCCATGCTGGACCTCGACCTGGCCGCCTTCCTGGCCGTCAAGGCAGAGCGGGAGCTGGCGCGAGGGGAGCCCTGGCTGCCTGGGCCCCTCAAAGGCGGTGCCGCCACCATCACACAGCAGCCGGCCGGCCTCTGCCCCGACTTAGGCCCCCAGCCCCACTTCCCGAGGCCCAGATGCTGCTGCCGCTGCTGCCGTGGTGACTGCTGTGGCCTCTGCTGGAACATCCCGGGCAGCCTGGAGCTCTGAGCTGCGGCCACTCCCACCCACCAGGAAATGGCTGTCAGGAGCACACTTGCAACCTCAGAACCTCCGCCCCGGACGCTGGTGCCGCCCCAGTTGCGGGGACCTCCGGGCCACAGCCTAGCCTCACGGTACAGTGAGACTCCATGGGAGGCTGCTAACCAGGGTTCCCAGATCCCAGACTCACTGCTGTACGTGCAGGGCAGGGACACGGCCTTCAGACCCCCACAAGCCCAGGTCTGGTCTCAGTTCGGAGGACAGCTCCCAGAAGGCTCTAGGGGTTCCTGACCAGCCTGCACGTGGCAGTAGGCCTCCTCTCTCAGTGGGAGCTGGGGGTTCGGTGGGGCACCTCCTTCACCCTGGGAGGCGGCGTTGTCCGCTTACTCAACAATGTTCACTGAGCCCCACTGTGTGTCCGTGCATTTTGGAGCGTGGCAGGTGCCCAGCTCATTGTTAACCAGGGCGACAGGCGCACAGCCACTGCTGCAGACAGCGTGAGGCTCAGAGAGGTCGGCGCCCACCTGAGGCTTCACAGCTCGGCTGGTCCAATTCCATGCTGGACCCCTTTCCGGCCCCAAACGAGGCTTCCCTCCCAGCTGCAGAGGGGCCATAGCCACAGTCCCAGACATCTCATCCCCACCCAGGAAGAAGCTGTCATTCAGGAGCCACTTGGAGGGGACACCCAGTCCCGCCCTGGGCAGCGGGCTGCAGGACAGGGAGAGAGATAGAATTTGCTGAGAGGACACTCAGAAGCCTCCTCCTTCCCCTGGGCAAAGTCCCCCAGGCACGGGAGCGGGGGCAGTGAGCAGGGTGCTGGACGGGCAGGCCCTCTAGGGAGACCAGACCTGTGGGAGAGAGACCACCCCAGGAGGGCCCCAGGGACAGGAAGGGGCCTGACCCAGGAAGGTCAGGGCTCAGTGGGAAGGGGTGGGCTGGGTGTTTCCTGGAGCAGGCGGGGGCGGGCAGTGGGCTGGGACCAAAGACAGAGACAAGCTCCCAACAGGGCCGGCCACTCGAGGGCCTCTGGGAGCTCTGCATGACCCTCAGGCCACACGAGACGCTGTCCTCCCGCCCACCACTGCCTCAGCAGGAAGGACCACCCTGAGGTCCACGTGGCTCTCGGCACCAAAAGCCTGCTCGCCAAGGGGTCCCAGCCACACACAAGCACCCTGCCATGGGTAGTGCCGGCCACACTCCTTCGCCTAGGTGGCGGGGAGTGTCTGATGGGGCCACACAGGTGCTGGCACATGGATGTCCAGGTACCAAGGGCCAGCCGCCCAGACCTGCACCACCTCCTGCCTGTCTCCATGCCCACCCTAGGAGACGTTCCACGAGGCTGGGGGCCCTGGCTCCTGGGTAAACATTAATGGGGCTCAGCACACAGCAGGTCATGTGTGTGCGTGCGCCCAGCGGATCTTTGACCTGCAGTCGATCCCGCGCCTCCCTGCAGGTGCCCCTCACCACCCACACAGGTAGGGCACTCGCGTCTAGGGGCAGGGACACTGAGGGCAGGGCCAGGGTGACCTCAAGCACCAGAGCTGAGGCCCCATCCTGAGCCTCCAGGAGCCAAGGGCACGAGAGACGGGTCTGGGGACAGGCAGGAGGGAGGGTAAGAGGAGGGACCCCCAGGACCGGAGCCAGGGCATGGGGAGGGAGTCCAGGGGGAGGACTCAGCCAGGGGTCCACCCCAGCAGGCCAGGGGGCAGAGGCTGCCAGGAGAGGAGCCCTGGGGTGGGTAGGTGGGGTGCACCCAAGCTTCTTGCCCCCGTTCCCATCCCTGGGGGTGGGGTCCCTATCTAGCAGAAACGTCATCGTTCGGTATCAAATGCCAAGGTCTCGGCCGGGACCATCTGCAGTGTCCCTCCCTGATGACACATGGTAGGAAAGGTCCCCAGGTTCCCCGGCTCCTGGCTGCTTCTGGCCGGCACCCCAGCACCCTGTGACCTCAGCCACTCGCCAGGCCTTCTCCCAGCCGGGACCAGCGAAGGAGCCAGGGCCCCTTCGACTCTGCCCCCCAAACCGGATGGGGCTCGCCCGACAGCCGCCTGAGGTCACTGTAGCCGTCCCCCTGTGGATGGTGGAAGGGGGGTCACAAAGGCCACAGGGGAGCCGGGAGGGCAGTGGCTGTGTGTCTGCTTGGCTAGGGTGGGGGCAGAGGGAGTGAGGTCTCTGATGGCCCCTTCCCCCACAGATCTGAGCTTGGGCCTGGGTCTGTCCCTGCCTGAAATCCATGTCGAATCCCCTCACTGGCGGCCAGGTCCCCCACCCTGCTCTGGACATGGTTGACCTGGTGGACCAGAGTCTGGGGAATGCAGGTACTCAGGGCCACAGCACCCAGCCCTCAGCTTGCCCCCACCCCTACTCTGGTGACATGCCCTGGACGAGGAGGGGACAGGGGCCTCAGCCATCCCTTAGAGCCCACGTGGGCTCCTGACGGCTCCCTCGAGGCCTGACAAGCAGAAGGCCCCCTCCCACCTCTGTTTCTGGCCCTCACCCCAAGCTCTTCCAGGCTCAGCTCCTGCTCTGCCCAGCTCCCCTATGTCCCCACCTGAGGGTCCCTGGCCTTACTTGACTCCCACCCCTGCAGGGGCCTCTGGTTCTGCCCTGGCCCTGGAGGAGGGGGGCACAGACCGCTGGGCCCTCCCTCAGCTAAAGGACACTGGCCAGTCCTGGAGAGGTGCGTCTGCGGGTGCCTGGGTGGCAAGTGGGCAGTGAGGGCCTAAGGGTCTGAGGGCTCTGAAACATACAGCAGAGCGACCCCTCGCAGCTGGGCCTCTTGGGCTCTCCCTGTCCTGCAGGCGGCTTCCGGGAGGCCCGGGGGCTGCTCGCTGGGCCATTCTGCAGAGGGAAAGCGGAGGAGGGGACTCAGACCCTGCCCTGGGTGACATGGCAGGGGACCCAGACCCTGGCCCTGGGGACAGCAGAGGGGATGTAGGTCCTTGCTGGGGGACAGAGAAGGGGAACTGTGCCGGTTCCCTGGGGAACAGAGAAGGAGGGGCCTGGGGGTGCTGGCGGGCCGACTGGCTGAGGACAGCCGTGCCCTGTGCCCTCAGAGCTCAGCATGACCGGCAGGGTGTGCTGGCTGGTCGTCGGCTTCCTCAAGGCCTGTGGCCTCCTGGGCAACCTCTACCTCTTCATCTGCTCCCTGGACATCCTCGGCTCTGCCTTCCAGCTGCTGGGCAGTGAGTGACTGGCCAGGGCGGGGTGGGGGGCAGAGCCCGTCCTTGCAGCCTCAATGCTCCTCTCTCCGGGGCGCAGGCAGAGTGGCCGGAGACATCTTCAAGGACAGCCTGGTGCTGGCCAACCCTGTGGCTGGCCTGGTCATCGGCGTGCTGGTCACGGTCCTGGTACAGAGCTCCAGCACGTCCTCCTCCATCGTGGTCACCATGGTGGCCTCCAAGCGTGAGTGCCCCCAGTCCTGACAGGGCACAGGGTGCAGGGCGGGCAGGTGGGACGCGGGGCTGATGCGGCGGGCACCCCCACAGTGCTGACCATCCAGGTGTCGGTGCCCATCATCATGGGCGTCAACGTGGGCACGTCCATCACCAGCACCTTGGTCTCGATGGCACAGTCCGGGGACCGGGATGAGTTCCGCAGGTGAGTGGGGGCGCAGCAGGGCAGCCCGGGGGGCCATGGGTGGGGCCCCTCACCACGCCCTTTGCCGTGTGCCTGCAGGGCCTTTGGCGGCTCAGCCGTGCATGGCATCTTCAACTGGCTCACAGCGCTGATCCTGCTGCCCCTGGAGAGTGCAGCGGCTGTGCTGGAGAGGCTCAGCGCGCTGGCCCTGGGTGCCACCAGCCTGCAGCCCGGGGCGCGTGCACCCGACATCCTCAAGGTGCTGACGAAGCCGATCACACACCTCATCGTTCAGGTGAGGACACTGCTGCTGGAGGAGAGGGGAGGAGGTGGAGACCCAGGCCCTTGCCTGGGTTGGAGGGGACAGACGGGACCAGGCCTTAGTCTGGCGGGGACAGGGGAAGGGAAGACCTGGGTCTTGAATTGGGTTGGGGAAGAGGGCAGGGCTGGGCAGATGGGCTGGGCAGGGATGGGTTGGGCAGGGATGGGCTGGGCAGGTGGGCTGGGCAGGTGGGCTGGGCAAGGATGGGCTGGGTAGAGGTGGGCTGGGCAGAGGTGGGCTGGGTAGGGATGGGCTGGACAGGAATTGGGCTGGGCAGAGGTGGGCTGGGCAGGTGGGCTGGGCAAGGATGGGCTGTGTAGAGGTGGGCTGGGCAGAGGTGGGCTGGGCAGGTGGGCTGGGCAGGGGTTGGCTGAGCAGATGGGCTGGGTAGAGGTGGGCTGGGCAGAGGTGGGCTGGGCAGAGATGGGCTGGGCAGAGGTGGGCTGGGCAGGGATAGGCTGGGTAAAGGTGGGCTGGGCAGGGATGGGCTGGGCAGCTGCTGGGCAGAGGTGGGTTGGGCAGGGATGGGCTGGGCAGATGGGCTGGGCAGGTGGGCTGGGCAGAGGTGGGCTGGGCAGGGATGGGCTGGGCAGATGGGCTGGGCAGAGGTGGGCTGGGCAGGTGGGCTGGGCAGGTGGGCTGGGTAGAGGTGGGCTGGGCAGAGGTGGGCTGGGCAGATGGGCTAGGCAGGGCTGGGCTGGGCAGAGGTGGGCTGGGCTGGCCCCTAAGGGCATGCAAGCCCCACGAGAGGCCTGGGAGTCCAGCACACGGTCCCCACCCCTCTGCCTCCCAGCTGGACACTGACCTGATCACAGGCGGCGCCACGGACAAAGCCAACCACAGCAGCCTCATTAAGCGATGGTGTGGAACCAGGGCACAGACGGTGAGGTGCTTTCGACCCCAACCCCTGATACGAGCCCTGACTTCTGACCTGCTCAGTCATCAGCCCCACCTGCTCTGACCCTTGAGCCCTCTGATCTCTCACCTGCCCCCCAAGCCTGAGCTGGCCCTGCCTCCCCAGACCAAGGGGAACAGCAGCGCCTGCGGAGCTGCCAGATGCCTCGAGAGGAACAGCACAGCCCCCGAGGACAAGCTGCCTTGTGAGCCCCCCACCCCGCCCCCGCCCCGCTCTGGCCCGAGTCCCCACTGACTGCCCGCTGCCCTGCCCAGGCCACCACCTGTTTTCGGGCACGGCGCTCACGGACCTGGCCGTGGGCCTCATCCTGCTGGCCGCCTCCCTGCTCGTGCTCTGCACCTGCCTGGTCCTCATCGTGAAGCTGCTCAACTCCGTGCTGCGCGGCCGCATCGCCCAAGCTGTGAGGACCATCATCAACGCGGGTGCGGGCAGTTGGGAGGGTACCGCCAGACACGTGGGGCGGGTGGGTGCGAGCGCGGAGGCGGGCACGGGAGCTGCTGGGCTGGGGGTGACCCGGCTTCCCCCACCAGACGTCCCCTTCCCGTTTGGCTGGCTCAGTGGCTACCTGGCCATCCTGGTGGGCGCTGGCCTGACCTTCGTGGTCCAGAGCAGCAGTGTCTTCACGGCAGCCATTGTGCCGCTGATGGGTGAGCATGGGGGCAGG